CCTGGGAGCTGTCTTACTTTTCTTTTCAAGAAATTTTTTTGACAACTTCAGTATGTGTTTCCATGCATTTTTTTCATTTTAATTTTCTTTTTTTCTGAAAAATTTAAGCTTTTATTACCAAGGATGTTATTACAAATATAAATTTGTTTAAATTTCACTCTGGGCACTTGCACCCTTGACATAGTGTTTTTAGGTAATCTTCATTGTATCTGTTCATTTGTTTTTATGCTTCGAGATCCAGAAGATAGGCCATGTCTGTTTATTTTATTTCTTCTCAGAGTAGAAAATTTATAACAATGGTTTCAACAAGAAAACAAGTGAGGCCAGGTGTTGGTGGTGCACACCTTTAATCCCAGCACTCGGGAGGCAGAGGCAGGTGGATCTCTGTGAGTTGGAGGCCAGCCTGGTTTACAGAGCAAGTTCCAGGACAGCCTCCAAAACAATACAGAGAATCCTTGTCTCGAAAAACAAAAACAAAAACAAAACAAACAAACAAACAAACAAAAAAGAAAACAAGTGACTACTTAGAACAGGAACAGTGTCTCCTGTAACAGTGGCCAGGGGAGGGAAGATAAAAGGGAAGTCTGCGGGTTTACCCCTTTGTCAAAGCAGAAGCAGGACCCCAAAGAAAGGGCCGACTGCCCTCCATTCGGCTGGGAGTCCGGAGACCACACTCGGATAAGTTTAGGACAGCAGCTGAGGCAGGGTGGAGGCAGCCGAAGGCTAGACCAGCGTGAAGCTGGGTAGGAGTTCAGGCTCCAGCTCCTCTAGGTGACATCCCCGGGGGCATCATGGGCTGAAGATTCTGCAGCTAGGGCAGGAGCACTGAGAACAGGAAGCTGCTCATCACCTGCTCAGTGTCCTCTAAGCTCAGTGCCCTCCAAGGAACAGTAGGTGGCCACCCAAACACAGCCCTTCAGCTTAAGCATGAGGCCCATCATGCTGAGATTTATGTAGTCCAGTGTCAGGTAGTCCAAAGCTGGGTTGCATTCTCTCGACAGAAACTTATACCTTGGCATTTTGTCGGGCCTCCGTGGGTTGGACTTATCGTTGGACACAGCCAACTGAAGACCACGCTGTCCCTCTTTCATTGCTCATGCTTCTTTATTTTTACTACACAGTGGAGGGGGGGTAATCCACGATAAAGGCTGTTTGTAGGAAATCAGCTATAAGGTTACAGTTCTCTAGAACAGAGATAGCATGTGGATTGAAATTTTATCTCATCTGATTAATTTACCGGAGCTGAGTAAACTCCTGAGCACTCACCACAGACCAGACACAGGAGGCACTCCAAACACACTGTCATTTTAGTTGTTAGGCCAATCAGAAGAAGCCAGGAACACCATTAACTGGGGACCATGAGCATCACTCGGAACCTTCACAGAGCTGGCCTCACTTTGGTGAGATTGTAGGAAAGGGAGGAAGGGCTAAGTGGGAGGATTCAGGTCTGTTGAATCAGAACCAGGCTCCTTAGTTATTATTCTTTAATTTAACAAACAATTTTTGAACATTTTATTTACCATCATTTTTATGCATATAGATGTTTTACTTGAATGTACATCTGTGTATCATGTCCCACAGAGGCCAGAAGATGGTGTTGGATCCCTTGGAACTGGAGTTAACAGACGGCTATTAGCTGCCTGTGGGTGCTGGGAATAGAACCTGGGTCCTCTGGAAGAGTAGCCAGTGCTCTTAACTACTGAGTCATCTCGCCAGCTCCCCTTATTCACTATTCTTAATTATCTGTAAACTGTTAGTTTTGTTTTGACAAAACAAAGCGGCTTCACCTGCCCACACAGACCATTTGTTCATTGTGAGAATTAAAATAATGCATTTTATAACTGAAAAGTAAAGAAAACATTGACCTTGAAATATCTGGGGCTTCATGACTATCTCAGGCTACATCTCTCTACACTGTTATTATCACTTTTGTTCCTGGTCCAATTTTGGTTGTATTAGGTTAAATGTGTTTGTAAGTCAAGACTTTATGTTCTGAAACCCCAATTTCCTTAAAAGTTTACATTAGTTCCTTTTTGGGGGGATAACAAAATAAGAAAAATGCAGCAGGAGGCATTCACTGTGGCTTTTCTGTTATTTCAGAATAGCAGCTGTGAGAGAAAGACATTCTGTAAGCAGAGAAATGAGCCAGGGCTTGGGAACCAGCACCAGCTGTGAATTCATGGTGTGTTGGCCATGCTAGACCACTGTATCTTGGATATACTTTTACTATTGCCTCAGTCTCTGATGGCGCAAAGTGTACCCATACACAGGTGCTTTTATTATAGGTAGGCAGGAGGGGACAACAGAAGTCTAGGACTCAAGATGTGTCTATCCCCAAAAGCTGTCCTGGGAGGATGCAATCTCATCTTCAAATGGCTCACTTCCACTGCAGATGAGGCACTTCAGAAAGTGATCTGTGCTGGCTTTTATAATCTGGACAACTTGCTAAGCTATAGCGTTGAAGAGCATCCTGTCCAGGCCGTATTAGAACAAAGACCCGGCTGCTGAGGGCAGGAGCTCAGTGTTACAGTGTTACACTCTAAATGCTACAGTGTTATAGTCTAAGCACATCAGCAGGTGTTCCTGAGAGCTCCAGGAAAGAGGGAGTCCAAAGTCACACAGAGAACTGCCCCACTCAAGACACCTCCATTTCTAGTCTACTAAGAAACAAAAGGCAGAAAAGTGGTCCTCCATGGCTGTACCCCTTAGGAGGCTGACCATCCCTAACATAGAGGAATTGTTTACCTGCTTCTGCTATTCTAGGAGGAAAACAGTTACCAAGAGATGAAGGTGCTGCATATCAGAGGGTGGTGCCAGATGGAGACGTGGCCAGAAATCTTCCATTGGAGTTTGTAATCCAATGCAGTATATAGACGCAGCCCCAAAGCTGCTGCAGATCTTAGACTTGACCAACAGGACGTCAGATCGATGGCTGTAGTCCTCTTGCCAGAGTAGCAGGCACGGGAGCAAAGAACTTAGTGCATCCGAGAAACATGGGAGGGTGTTGGCCATGAGGCTCAGGCTCGGTGCCTCTGGAACAGTCAGCCCGCTTGCAATGGCGGCTTCCGTGGGCGTCCATCCGGGCTGCAGAACCTCGTGAGGTGGCGGCCGTTCGAGAAGATTCATCTTGCTGTTTGCTCTTTCCTCTCCCATCACTTTGTCCACTCTCAGAAGAGTTGTGCCTTGCAGACAGAGAGGGAGAGAAGCGTGCAGGGGGTGCCTCAGCCCTAGCTGGCTCTTCTCAGCCACAGGCAGGAACGTCGGCAAGACGGACAAGAGACACAGCTTTTCAAATAAAGCAAAGCGCGTCTTACGAACAGAAATGAAAAAGCGCCAGTGGTTTAAAAACTAAGGCATGTAGACATCTTCCATTTGGAAAGGGGGACTGTATTACAGACTCAACCACATATTTACATGTTAGCATGAAAATACAATGCGCACACATGTTATAGTTACACACGGTGGTAAGCAAGTGTTGAGAACTGGGCTGGAATCCGGGTAACACCACGCTGGGAAAGGAACTCAGAAGGAAGAGCCTAAGCAAAAAGAGGCAGTGATTATCCAGAACTGCTGCAGGGGAGTTCAGTGTGGCCTTCGTTTAGTGAAGATTGGCTAGAACGTGGGGCTGTAAAATAACAGGGTTGGAGGTCACTCTGCATCAGGCGGCAGATGTGCCTAAGCTGATGACTAAGGCATCATGTCCATTTCCCATCCGCTGGAACCTAGTTCATAACTGGAGGTCAGAAGTACTTGACTGAATGAAGCGACTGGGTCATCAGGTGGCGGCTGGCCTTTTGCATATGAGCAGTGGGCAGCCATGAGGATTATGTGACTGTTCCGGCAGCGATGGAGAGAGTCTAGAGACACTTCTGCCCCTTCACCTCGGCTGTCGGATTCTAAAACAAAATGGACCCCAAGGATCTCATGTTGAGAGGAAAGGACTTGTCTTGGGGAAAAGACTTCACACAACTTGCCAGACTTCGTGTGGAAGAGACTGGGGCAGAGACAATGATGAGTGCGTGGGTGGTTCCCACCTTGACCCCGACTTCATAGCTATACATACCTCTTGCTTTGTATACGCACTTAAACTTCATCTTATACTCTCTCCTCTCTCTCTGTCTCTCTGTCTGTCTCTCTGTCTCTGTCTCTGTCTCTCTCTCTCTCTCTGTGTCTACTTTGATCCTCTTCTCAGTGTGACCACACTGACTCAGTTTCCCTTGTTTGCTCTCACGGTCACTTGTTTCATTGGTCTATTGAGGATGAGCGGCAAAGCTTGACTTGGGAAGGATGCCATGGTTGTTGTTTCCAGGTCTTATGCTGAAGGGCCTCATTCCCCCTCTGGGAAGCTTTCTTCTGGTTGGAGGATTGGACAAAGATCTGTGATGAGACCTCTCCGAGAACATTCTAGCCATTGGGAACATTTGTTCGGGGACTGATTTCCAAAACCTGCACTTGCTGATGGGGTGGATTCTCTCTGATTTCCAACTCACTTTGATCACTTTTGTTTTGTTTTTTTCGAGACAGGGTCCTGGAACTCACTCTGTAGACCAGGCTGGCCTCGAACTCGGAGATCTGCTTGCCTTGCTTCCCGAATGCTGGGGTTAAAGGCCGGGCGTCTACTTAGATCGAATCGTTCCTGTCATGGCCGTGAGAGGAGACGGACAACGTGGCATGCCCTAATCCTCGGTCTCGGGCAACAGCCCAATCCTCTCTCTCACTGCTCGGTGGACACCCTTACGGGGAGAAAGGCCAGAGGCGTTGGCGCGGCGCCCTCCTCACCGCCAGGGGGCGCCGGCGCCCCGGAGCCCGGCTCCTTTTCAAGCGCACGCCCTCCCTGGTCGCTGGATGGCGGCTCCGGCCTCGGCTCCCAGCCGCGTCAGTGTTCCGCGGCAGCCAATGAGAACTGTCCATGTACCCACGGGGGCGGGGCTGCCGAGGGCGGAGGAAGATGGCGGCGGGGGCTAGGTGAGGTGTCGGCAGTGGCGAGGGGCTCGGGCGCGGGGGTTGGGGGGACGCGGAGCGATGGCCCGCGCCGGCCGCTGGGGCGGATAGGAGCCCGTGGCGCCGCGGGTGTGGGTCGGAGGGAGGAGACGGTGCCCGAGCGCCCCGGGAGTATGACGGGGCTGTACGAGCTGGTGTGGCGGGTGCTGCACGCGCTGCTCTGCCTGCACCGCACGCTCGCCTCCTGGCTCCGCGTTCGCTTCGGCACCTGGAACTGGATCTGGCGGCGCTGCTACCGCGCCGCCTCCGCCGCGGTCCTAGCGCCGCTCGGCTTCACGCTCCGCAAGCCCCCGGCCGTCGGCAGGAACCGGCGTCATCACCGGCACCCGCACGGGGGACCCGGGCCGGCCGCCACCCATCCCCGGCTGCGCTGGCGCGCGGACGGCCGCTCCCTGCAGAAGCTGCCGGTGCACATGGGCCTGGTGATCACCGAGGTGGAGCAGGAGCCCAGCTTCTCGGACATCGCGAGTCTCGTGGTGTGGTGTATGGCCGTGGGGATCTCCTACATTAGCGTCTACGACCACCAAGGTGAGGCCGGCCGGGAGGTGGGGGTGGCAGGGCTGCTTCCGAGTCCGAGGACGACACGTCTGGCTAGTTGGCTCCTGGTCGCCTTGCGAGGCCGCCGCCCTCCAGGCCCCGCGAGTTTGATGCGGCTCTGGGCCCTTAAGTATAAATCACAGTGTCGGCGCTTTCGAGGAAGGGAGATCAGCATTGTTGATTGACCGAGGCTTTGGATTTGTTTATCTTTAACATGAAAAAAAAACACACACACTGTATTCCGTTAAGGTAGATGGTATCTATTTGGCTTCATTTCACAAACGAGAGGGAGATGACGTTCAGAACATAAACTGATTGCCCAAGGTCACAAAAGTAGTAACGGGGAAATAATTGTAACCAGCCGGTGCTATCTTCAAAGTGTCTCTTCAAAGGGGTTCAACGCAGTCATGGTAAGTGCGGCCGGGCAGTGGACGCTTTATGCAAGAGCCCTATCGCAGGTTTTCCAAACGAGCTCTTGGAGTTAGATGGCATTTGAATTGAGTTTCTGAAAAGTATGTGAGACTTTAGATAGGCCCAGAACAAGATGGTGCACCCGTGTCTCTGAAGCCTGGAATCATGTGTGATCATTTGTCCTCAGTGGCCGATACAGAACTCGCTGCGGTTGACTTCGTGTAAGACGTGATCGAGACAGTGAATTTCATCATAGTTTTGTTACGTGCACAGTTCAACACATAGTTCATGGCAACAAGCCTAAAACACCATGTCAGATATATTCCTCGGAGTCTTGCCTTCATTCCGTGTACTCCAGGCTGGCCGGGAGAAAGACACACTCTAGGTGATGGATGATGTTTGGGAGAGAAATTCTGAAGAGGGGAACCTTGAGAGTTGGTGTAGAAATTTGAAAAGGGCATTGAAGAAACGGAGGGAGGGAGGGGGGAGGGGGAGGGAGGGTGAAGAGGAAGAAGCTCCAGATGTCAGGCTTGAGTTTCCCCGTCAGTCCTAAATGCAGTGGTATTTCCGTAAAAGATAGAGATGTGGTGATTAGGGCGAGTTAGGAGGCTGCCTCGTTCTTGGTGTAGTAAATTGCCTGCATGCCCTAGAGAAGCAACTTGAGGCTCACTTTTAAATCTTTCTCAGTTAGCTATTTAAGTGCTGAGTTTGCCTGGGGTAAGTAGTAATCACTGATTGCTTTATCATTGTTTAGCCAGCCAGGAGTGTAGTTCCACTGAGCCTGCCATCTGAAATGATGATTTACCCTATAGGGTAAAGCTTGATATAGTCAATATAGAACTTGCTAAAGACTTAGGAGATAAGTAGACTGTTAGGTGACACAATCCTTGCCTAAACCAGTACAGTTAGTGTAGCGTGGGATATAATATGGCAATACGAAATGGAAATTAAAAACATTAAGTAATATGAATTGACTTATATCCAGTAGGAAGGAAAGTAGAGAGCTGAGTTGTTCAGTATGATTGTGTCCAAGCAGAGATTACAGTACCGTCACACTTCCTTGTTCCTGCCTTTCTGAAGTGACTCAAGTCCTTTGTCATAAGCTCGTAGAGGGAGAATGATTGACAGTGAAAAGGAGTCAACTTACAAGTTTCGACTGAGAACTGAACAGAGCGTCAAGGATTCTGTGTGCTATCATAAAAACATTTTTAAGTGGTAATTTCATAGTTTGAATAAGAGATCTTCAATTTACTTACCCTGGCTTCTGACTGATCGGTTCATGAAGGAGTAAATGAGAACAGTGCAGCATTTTAGGAAATACTTTTAGAAGCAAAAGGAGGAAAAATAAGGCAGGGGAGAGTTGAGAGCTGAAAGGCAACCGTGAAGGAAGAGATAAAGTTTTAAATTGGGTGACCAGGGACGGAGTCAAACTTTTGAATAGATAGTATTTCCTCTAGTATGCTTCTACTTACGTTTGTCTCTGTATAGATACTTAGAAAAATTTATGTGTATTGACACACACACAAATGCTACCTTCACTGAATACCTATGTGCCTTGCTATAGAGGTCTGCAAAATGAAGTAAGTGTAAGAAATGCTATAACGTTCAAGGAGAGATGTCTACTATACATTAATGCAGGCTGATACACAAATAAAAAATGACAACTGAGTATGAAAGACTCTAGGGGGTTGAACACTGTAGCCCTGAGCTATTCAGTTAAGCCCTTGCACTTTTTTATTATACTTGCAAACTTTGTTTGATTGTGGTAATTTCTACTGTATTCATACATTGGAAATTGAAGTTTTCTTAGAAGATTGGTCAGGTGTTTTTGAGCTCACAGTTCTCATAGAGAGAATTGGCTATTTTGTCTACATGATTATAATTTAGGAAATGATTATGATATGTGTTAAAAACTATTTCGTATTGTATTTGGTGTTACAGTCTTGGGGCTGTTATGCTTCCTTGTGTGCATTTGAACTACATTGCCTGTGCTGTCTTCATTGTGTTGGTACCATGCTTACTGTAGGGTTCTTTAGAAAAGTTTGAGAAGGATTCCTTGGAATGTTTATGGGAAATACTGATTCATCATACTTACTGATCAACTGAATTAAGGTAGTCCAACCTGGGCATCTCTGTTTTGTAATCAAGCTACTTCTATGGCACTTCTGCACACTGGAGTTGACATTAACATAGAACACAAGCTACTCTGGCACCTACCTGCCTTATGTAAGATTAATCATGGACTGGAGCTGGAGCCTAGTGGCTATAGTACTGAGGCCCTACATGCATCTTTCACATTGTTCATGTGTAATGGTAATTTGGGGGTAGTGTTTATTATAAATTGAAATGAGTCAGCAAGGAATTTTCTGCATGAGATCCAGCAACCAGACAGCCAAAATATTTTGTTCTTTCTGTTTTTAGCTCACTATTTGTCAGCCTGTTCTGTGCAATAGTTTTGGGGTAATGATTTCTCACACTAGCCCTAATGGGACTGCTCACTGCCACCCCACCCTTCTTTACTGATTTCTCACTGGTCTCTGTACCTTTTATTACACCTTCTTCTTCTTCTTCTTCTTCTTCTTCTTCTTCTTCTTCTTCTTCTTCTTCTTCTTCTTCTTCTTCTTCTTCTCCTTCTCCTCCTCCTCCTCCTCCTCCTCCTCCCCCTCCCCCTCCCCCTCCTTCTCCCTTCTTTTTGCCTTGGACTCACAGAGATCCACTTGCCTCTTACTCCCTGGTTCTGTAATTAAAGATGTGCACCACCACCGCCTAGCTCACTAATCCTTGTGAGTCTACCCTTACCTTCTGTTAGTCCATCATGCCTCTGCCTTAGTCTGTTCCTGGATCTCTTAAGAACATTGGGTACCTCTTAGTGTGTGTCTACACTTGACATTTATACATCAGAAGTTCCTTGGGTGTCATCTCTGCTTCTCCCTTTTGCTTCTGTCATGGTATGGCTTGGTGTTAAATGCCTGCCATGGCCAGGCAGTGTTACTGGTTTTCTTGTCTCTCCAGGTTTTGCCACCTCTTCAGCCCCAAATAAGCACATGGATGCTGTATTTGTTATAAAACTGTTAGCTGGTGGCTACGGCTTCTTACTGGCTATCTCTGTCTTAATTATTAACCCATAACTACTAATCTATATATTTCCACATGGTCTTGGCTTACTGGAGGATGCCCAAACCTGTTACTCTTTTGGTGGGCTCCCTCTGCCTATCTTTCCCAGAATTCTCATCTCCTGATCCTGACTATCTTCCTGCCTTATTGGTCAACAGTGTTTTATTCATCAACCAATAAGAGAAACATATATACAGAAGGACATCCCCCATCAAGGCAGTATACATTCTTTGACTCGAGTGGGCTGTGCTTCCCATAAAGAAGCATAAGGAGCTGAGTTGCTGCTCTTGTTTCCCAAGGGTGAAACCTAGAATCCTCAGGAAAGAAAACTCAAGTCTCTTCTAGTCTGGCCAATGACATAGATGCTAGTAGAAGGTATGACTCTTACTGATGATTGTTCTTGTGTTGAATTAAACAGATGCCAGATGTATCGAAAGTTCCGATACATTCATGATTGTATTTGATAAACTGAACAGTATCCCTGGGGTGTTTGTATTTCCTTGTGTAGAAACTCAAGGGAACCTCTGCCCTTAATCCTTACTCTTTCCTAGAATTTTGCATTTTCCCTCACCATCCCCAGATGTTATATTCTCATTTTTCTTGCAAAAGACTCTACCAGAATCCTACCTTTGATTCTTAGAGCAGCCAGCCAAGCCTGCCTCATTGGGTAGGCTCTGAGTTATTTCATCCCTGTCTCACTTTATCTCTGGAAGGCTCTGTTCTGCTTTGTTTCTTGGTGTGACGAATGATGTTCTCAGTACTCTTCTATTAAACTATAGGGCTAGATCTATGAATTAAACCCTTTGAAAAAAGTTATTATTTTAAGTTCCTATGTGTGTTCCTCAAGTGAAGGTGTTTTTGGGGCCAGAAGAGGGCATCAGATCCCTGAAGCCAGAGTTACAGGCAGCTGTGAGCTGCCTTCTGTTGGTGCTGGGAAGTGAACTTGGGTCCTCTATAAGAGCTGTACATGCTTTTAATTACTGTCTCTTCAGCCCCATATGTTAAATTCTAACAGTAACAATTATTTTTTGTTATATTCTTGAGGACAAAAAATTTAGCTGTTTGGTATGGAGATACGTGTATCACAGCACATTGATGGAGGTCAGAGAACAACCTGCAGGAGTTGGTTCTCATCTTCCTCCATGTGAAGCCCAGGGGGATTGAACTCAGAACTCAAAGACAAGTGCCTTTGCTTCTGAGCCATCTTGCCATCCCCTTTGTTAAATTCTTACTGTGTGGTACATGTTATACCAAAATGCAGTGATTCTAAAGGATTTCCAACTGAAGAAACAGAATCAAAAAGCCAAGAGACACATCCCCCAAGGAACCAGGTCTAGAATTTGAACCACATTTTGTGTAAAAGCTTTTGTTCTTATAACTGTTACTTTCACCATTTAGAGAACAGACAATAGTCACCTTTACAGACTGACTAGATTGCATCATCTTCAGGTTATGATGTCATGGCA